CACTGGCCCCCTACTTTCAGCATTACCCTGGCCCCTGTCGTTTACCTGTGTATATGTTCTGCTCGTCGGATAATTGATTTAAATCAGGTTTCCCACTATTTCTTCACATATTTCTTAAACAATGGTGCAAATCTGATCACTAAAACATGTTCATTTACAACTCGATACAGCATTTTACAACATCTGTCCTTAAACTTTTTTTTAATTTTCAAATTTTATGAACTCTAACAGACAAGTCGTCACAACATTGAACATATGCTGTCCTTAAAACTTCTACAACTAGATCTCATCTTCCCGACTCCCATTGTCATCTTTATTCACAGACCGAAGCAGAAATATGAGTTTTCTTGCTCTTTCAACTCCCAGTCGATTTCTTCGCTTTGAGTGAATAATACCAAACGATGAAAATATTCTCTCTGTGTCTGCACAAGAAGCTATTGCTGTGAAAAGTTGGCTTAGCAACTGAAGGAATTCTGGTTCAAGGTGCCTGGCTAATGATTTTCACCAATTCAGAGGAGTGACTTTGTTCAAAACATCATCAGTAAACATGTACTGTTTAAATGGTTCCCCTCCAGCCCTGAAATCTATTATGACTGGCATAACTGATTTTGAGATGCTCATGCCATGGCAGCAGCATCTTTTTCAGAAGTTAGGCATCTACCTTTATATTTGGGGTTGAGAATATTCACAAGAAAATGAGGTGAAGTTAGTGCTTGATCTATTCACTTCTTTATTGCCTGCAGCTGATTGTAAGACCAGGATGCAGGGTGGGTTTGAGACACCAGACTGTTTGGAGCTGGGTCTGACAATCAGCTAAGAGGCCTGGAACTGCCTAGCTGCATGTCCAGTTTTTAAAAGTTAGGTATTTCTTTCTTCAATATCTCTTGAAGTGCCTTCCAAATTTTGACAGCATCAGCAATGCAGCAACAATCTCTCTCAAGTTTGTTTAAGGCTATGGATATAGGCTTCAGTGTATTGAGCATATCCTCTACATTCCTCCTTTAATCCAATGTTAGATATTTTGGATGAGATGCTTCCACCTATTTTATCATAGTTTTCTTCGCAAATTTTTATGAGAATAGGCCAGTTCTTAATAAATTGTTCAAAACAATCAACCACAGAATTCCATAGAATATCTTGAGGCAGAATTAGTTTGGATCCTCCTGCTCTCTTCAGTGAAGCTGAAGCAAAATGGTTGTTATGGAAGTATTTTGCAACATCAACAACATTTTCTTTTATTCCTGGAGAAGTACTTAAGTCTTTGGCTAAAAGATGCATTAAATAGGCACTGCAGCCATATGTTAAGGAGCATCCTTCCGTTTCTTCTTCTAAGTATCTTCTCATCTTTGCCACATTTGCAGCATTGTCTGTGACAAAACTCTGCACATGACAGATGAATTTTTGTTCACAGTTTATTACAGCTTTCACTGCCACTTTTTAAAAATATTCTGTCGTGTGGGCAATTCCTGATGTATCTATTGTTTCTGAAAGATACGCAACCCCATCTTCTGTTGTCACGCAGGCATATATTACTGGATCATTGTGTACATTGCTCCACCCATCAAGGCTTAAACTGGCAAATTTCCCCTCAGTATTTCTTGCACACAGTTCAAGTTCCTTCTCATATGCTGTATCTAGCAACCTTCCACCAATGTCTGCTGTACCAGGTGGAGTGTAGCCTGGTTGTAGGGACTTAACCATGTTAATGAAGTGTTTATTGTTAACAATGTGGAAAGGAGAATTTGTGGCATAAATGAAACGAGCAATCTTTCATCTATGGTGTCGTCTTGGTATTTGCTGGTCCTTACTACAAGTCCACCCATGGTGGTGGTTTGACTGGATAATTGAAATCTTTTGCCTTCTACTTGATAAATGCCTGAAATACATTTAGTTTAGTTGCAGCATTGCTGCTAAAATTACCAACGGATGACTGAAGCTGTTGCAGATAGACAGTCAAAGTCTCTGCTTAAATGGGATCCTGAAACAAAAATGATTTTTGAGTAGTTATTCTTTTCAATTCTTCTCACTCTGTTATTTAGTTAATCATTTACATTTTTTTCAGCAAGGATGCAGATCTGATTCCAAATTACTAAAAAAGCTAAGACTGACAGCACTTAGAGTGCACTTAATTTTGGAGTAAGCCCCATTGAACTCACTGGCACTTCTGTTTTTTGAGACAACAAGTATAGGACTGGGGTTCCCTTGGGAAAGCTGAGTTATGCTGAAATAAAACAGGGAATAGACTTATGGCATCACCATTAGGGTCTGGGGGCATGATGTTCTAAAATAAGGGTCCTGTATTATGTAATATAAAATAAGAAACCGACACCCAGTGGCAACTGGCAAACTCTAGATTCCTCTTACTGCAGCTTTCTGTATGTGTAAACTTGGGTGATAGATTCTAAACCTAGTTAACTAATTAAACAAGCCATAACGATTAGCTAAGCTAACTTTTTTTTCTAGCAACATCCAACACAGCAAACAGCTTGGGAATTTGTGTTAAATCACACTTACATTAAAAGGCACAGAGAGAGCCTTGAAAAATGATGCATTACAAAGTGAATTATTTAATTTATTAACCAGTTGATCCACATTGTTTTTCAGACACATCCACTTCATTTTCTCCCAATAAGCAGTTTTCATTATGATGTTTCATTCTTGCAGCTAGGCCCTGCATTTCCTTCTTGCACTGCTTACACTTGACACATTTTCCTTTTTTACCCAGGGAAGGAATTTCTTCAAAATATTCCCAGATAGGGTCTCTCTTATGCCCAGAAGCCATGACAGTTTTTCTGTGGCAGAATTGTGGGGGAACATAGGAAGCTATGTGCGTTTAGTGAATAATGTCTTCCCTTTTTCTTTCCAGTCCACTCCTTTCTACTCTGCCTCCATCCTTTCCTATATTGTCTCTCTATTTTTAAGACATTGCCTTAACTAACTCCTCTGCCTTACTTGGCCCAGCTCCACTACCACATAAGCACAGAACAACAGCAATCCTTCCCAGTGTGTCTTTGCACATGTGACTTTAGTCTGCTGAGAAACAAACTGAAAGCCCAGAAATTTCAAGAAGCAAGGGCTGGTAGTTAAGCTGGACAGACAGACTAGAGCTTTTTTCCGGAGATGACAAACTGAAATGAATGCCCATGTTTGATTGGTAGGTAACTCAATGTGTGCGAGTGTGACAGAGCCATTAATTCATTTTTATGAGACTAAGTATAGTTTTAGCATGTTGGTGATAAGATTTAATTGTAATTCGTATTTTGAAACAAGATTAATTTAGTATTTTATTGAAGATTAAAAAAAAATGGGATTTTTTATATTAAAAAAAAAAATCATTGATTTCTATCCACCCTGACCCCGGCCAGTCCAGGATCTCAGATCTGCCCTAGGATCCAGGGTCTCAAACTTGCTGGGGGCAGCCCTGGGTCCAAGGCAGAGGTGCCCCCTGCCCAATCTGTAGGATCCGGCTGGGGGCAGCTTCATCTGGCGCGGAAGGAGGCATGATGTTTGGGATGGGGCATAAAATTCCTTTGATCCCAATTAAGCTGTTGTTTTAATGTTTCTCAGAGGCCAAGATTCACCATTTTTGCCAGCATGTCCAATAGGCTGTGATGAAGAGCTGGCTTGTTATTATTAGGAATCTTTGTAAATAGTAATATCTTGGCCAAAATTACTTTAACTACATATCTGAATACTTGTAGTCTCACTCTGCATTTTTGAGCAGATAAGACATTCTCAACTTCTTGCCCTGAACTCTTGCAACTATTTTTATATGTTATTAGACAGCTGCTAAATTCCTCCCTACACCTTGTGGTAGGAGTGAGTGGTAGGAAAATGCCTGCTTCCTTTTGTGTAATTTGTAAATACTTCTGTGTTCCATTTGGGTGTCAGGCACTGTCATAAGTAGAAGGCATTGTGATATTAATCCCTGCCAGCCCAAGTTCCAAGGGGAACTTAGAATCATAGGGTGGAAAGGGACCATGAGAGTCATCTGGTCCAGTCCCTGCATGAATGTCTGTCCAGTGCTTATCCAGCCTCCTGTTGAAAGCCTCCAGTGAAGGAGATCCAAAACTTCACTGAGCAATGTAGTCCACTCCCTCACTATTCTAACAGCAAGGAACATTTTCCTGGTATCTAAGACCACTTTGCTTCAGTTTGAAGCTGTTGCTTTGTGCCTTGTTCTCTGGCAAGAGAGAGAGAACATTTGTTTTCCCTCTCCCTTATGGCACCCTGTCAGATATTTGAAAGCTGCAGTCATATCCTCCCCCACAATAGTCTCTTTTCTCTAAGCTAAACATATACCTAGTTCTCTAAAGTGCCTTCAGACCCCTTTATCATTCTTGTTGCCCGCCTCTTGTAAGTAACTTCACAGGTAGATTGGCTTCTTAAAATCTGAATGTAGAATGCAGAAATTGGCAGGTTGCGTGAGGAAAATACCTCACTTTTGTTGAATACCAGTCAGTTTTCCATTAATAATCTCATTAAACAAGTTTTCCAATATTCAAACCAAAATAAAAATTACATGCTAGGTTATTGGGTCAGTTATAAGAGGTTCTTTTAAGTTTTATATCACTATTCTTCCTATCAGAGGACTATTTTTAAAAGAGGTTAGTAAATAAATCTTTCATGATAAAGGAACGCATGTTTCTAATGTGATGATAAGTTACTCTCCTCTTCTCTTGATTGCTGATCTGTCTCCCTTTGGATAGAACACTGAAAAGAAAGGAATTTTCTAAACCAAATAAATAGTGAACACTTTTTCCTTCCTGTTTTTCTCCAAATCAGAGAAGCCTGGCATGATGACCAGTGTCTTCCAAAACTAGTCAAAGGTGATTGATTTAATTTTGATTCTCTATGGTTTAATAGGTCTTGGAGCCCCGTTTCAATGTCGAAACAATGGCTCAGTTGTTAAACATCCCACCAAACAAGACGTTGCTGAGACGTCATTTGGCAACCCACTTCAATCTGCTTATTGGCCAGGAGGCCCAGCTGCAAAAGCGTGAAACCATGGAATCTCCAGACTATGTCCTTTTAACTGCTACTGCTAAAGTGAAGGTAGGCCAGTGGTTGTACATTCCTGTGTATACGTGTTGGATTGAGTAATGTTTGACTGCTGTTCAGTAAGGCTTTTGGGGGGGGAAAGAGAGCAAAGAGATGCATGGAAAGAGGCTGAGAGCATGGCAAACAAACAAGCTACTTGAGCAGTCAAGGTTTTAATACGTTTCAGCTGCTCTGCAGTAGCTGCCTGTGTGCCTACCCTTATCCAATGAGCAAAAACTAGCCTGTTGTAGCTTACCTCTCTCTTCACTGAGGTAAGAATATGTGTGTGCAGCTGGCACACTGCAAAACCCTGCTCCCTTTCTACTTCATAGTAACTTGTTTGTGTGTCCTTACCCCTCATTGACGAGCAAGAGATTCAAGCCCTCGTTCAGATCCAAGAGTAGCGAGGACCCTAGACCTCGGGAAATTTGAGTTCAAATCTTGGCTCTACCACAGACTATCTATGAGATCTTGGTTAAATCATTTAATATCACAGCCCTGATATCATTTTCTTGTCTAGGTATGTGTATGTGGTTAATATTTCTCCCACCTTTTGTCCTGTACATTTATATTACAATACAATTGAGAGAGAAGCTATGTATGTTCAGTGTTTAACACAGGGTGTATCTACAAAGCGTCACCATCTACATGTGCAGTAAAGAAGTATTAGGGTGCAGTAAACAAATTAACTCCTCTGACAGTACTATCTTACAGTGACGGTACAGTCTTGTGGTGCATTGACTTGCTGCACTAAAACACATATGTAGATTCTGTGGGTGTGCATTGTACCTAGTCAGCCCAGCCAGCTGGGGGCCTGCTCTGCACTGGTTCAAATTGCTGCTCTCCCATGTGCACGTGTACATGCTGCATCCGGGAGCAGTTTCCTCTGGCTCAAACTGCTCCAGAGTTTATTGCGTCGCATTAATTGCATGTGTAGATGCACCCACAGTGAGGCTATTGCTATACAAGTAAACCAGCAATGGGAAGGTCATTGATTTTTGTCAGGCTGTGGTTGTAGTTAGCTGAGAAATATTCCATGGACACTTGTTTTTGGGAGAACTGTGTGATTTCATTCTTCCAAATTTGCTTTCAGTTAAACATCCGATGCAAGAAATAAAGGTGACATTGAGACTTGATTCTGTAAATTATGGAATTCCTGACTACTTACAAATTTTCACTTTAATTTTTAAGCCAAAGAAACTTGCCTTCAGCAATTTTGGAAGTCTGAGAAAAAAGAAGCAAGATGACGTGGAAGAGTATGTGTGTCCGATGGAGTTGGGACAGGCATCAGGAAGTGGAGCCAAGAAGGGGTTTAAGCCTGGTTTGGATATCCGAGTGTATGATGACGATGATTTGGATCGGCTAGAGCAGGTGAACCAGCATTTGCTATTCAGATCTTGTGGCAGAACAGTTGGGTTTGAATGGCTTCCTCTGCCTCCCTCGGGGCTCTCTAAATAGATGGTGTAACGCTGTCACTATCAGCCATGGAACATCCCAGAATTGCCAGAAATGTTTCCTGGCACAAGTCAATAGAAATTGCATATGCATTGATTTGGGACCTTTAACTTTGTATGATTAGCTTTTCCTACAGTACCAGAATTCATGCCCTCATTTCATCCCAGGCACAGCATAATATAGCACCTATATTGCTTAATGCCTTTACTTAATCACCACCATGTGTTAGTGTACATTAATTTTTCTTATCATCTGTTCCCTATAGATGGAAGATTCAGAAGGGACTGTGAGGCAGATAGGAGCGTTCTCCGAAGGCATCAACAACTTGACTGTAAGCCCTTAAAATGTTGCCAAAAGAGCTTAAATGTCTGTGTTTTGAATATGCCCTCACCAAGAGTGTCAAACTCCTCTGGCCCCATGTGCCAGATGAATGGCCTGAGGCTGGTCTGCATGCCAAATCTGCAGCCTGTTCTGGGACCCATGCTCCATGCAGTGGCCATTCCAGCCAGTTAGGGAGGTGCACTACACATGGCATTCACCCCTGCTGGTCTGGCAGTGCTGCACGCAGTGCCTATTCTGGCTCGTCCAGGACAGTGTGGATCCTGGATGGGCTGGAGCAGGCACTGCATGCGGCGTGCATCCCGGGCCCTGTGTGCAGGGCTAGTCAGGCGCAAACTGCATTGGTCAACTATGAGACCCCCTGGGTGCTGGATAAGGGAGCTCAACAGGCTAGATCCAGTGTGCAGCTGTATCTTTGACACCTTTGCCTTAGGCAGTCCCTTGTAAGAAATGGTCCCAAATGTCCTCATCCATACTGAGTGTAACAGCCCTGGGGCTGTTGTAGTTACACGAGGGTCTAAAATGTCCTTGGAATGGGGAAACGCTCAGTTAACTCCCACTGTCCTCTCCAATGACTCTTCTTCATAGTGATCACATTTAAGTTTCCTGAAATTATGCAGTTTTGAATTCTTAATTTTGAATATTTATGTTCATTTTTCCCTTTGATCCTTTTTTTAGCACATGCTGAAGGAGGATGAAATGTTTAAAGACTTTGCCACCCTCTCTCCTAGTGCCAGTATAACGGATGAAGATTCAAATGTGTGACGATAACTACCAGACACTGATAAAGAGTTCTGTGATGGGCAGCAGAACATGTACATTACATTGCTCTTGCTTCTGTTTGTTAGAAGTGATATTTTTTGGGTGGTTAGGGAGAAAAGGTGCCTATTCTAAAGTTGCCATAAGAAAACCACAGACCCTGGTGAATGGCAGTATCATTGTTTTACTATATCTAATGTACAAACCTGTGACATATTTCAAAGTACTGCATTTAAAAATAGTATGTTACCATAATGCTCCTTTATTCTTATTTGTGTACTGTTTCAGAATATCACAGGATATTAAGTAGAGTAGAGAGAGAATCCATTTTGTAGGTATTCTGCCTCAGCCTTTACTGCAACTTTCAGCTGAAAAAAATGGTATCACTGGTGTCCTATTTAAATGGATTTGCCCAAAGGAAATGCCATTTTTTTTCCTCTGTAGTATCTACCGTAGGCCTTGAGGCATGATTCCCTGCACAATTTCCCAGGTAACTTTTGACTGTTGCTGACTTACTTTTATATCTATCTATCTATCTATCTATAGATATATATATCAGAATTTTTATTTTGTGACGTAAGGTGGTGAAAATTCAGTGTTGTGGGGGTTTTTTTTGTGAAGAGATGATCCAAGTTTGAAACCCAGCTGGTTACTGGAAAAATCAGACTGACCTTTAAACTGTTTGTTTTCTTTCCTTTTTCCCCTTTGTTTCTTTTTGCTAACCATTTTTAGCTTATGTTTCTACATTTGGGATGAAGCTGTTATGAAACATATTTCTCCTTGCATCACTTTTCTAATCTGCAGTATCTTATTTTTTCCCTAGCAGCAGCAGCAGCAATAAGATTTTAATTGTTTTAGGATATTAAAAATATTCTTGAAAGTTCTCAGTTTGAAATTGAGCACTGTCATACACATATGGGAAGGGATGCTTCCATGCTGTGAACATAACAAAACACTTATATAAAGAAATGTATCATATAAAGAAATATATTGTTGCACAGTATTAAGCCTAAGGTGGGCTTTTTCCTCAAAAAAGTGAGAACACACACATTGCCTAATATTTATGCCTATTAAAAGCACAACTCCTTTCCACTTTGGCTAGTTAGAAATTTAGAAATGTATTTCAGTGAAAATCTTTTGTCAGACTTTATACAGACCACAATGTCTTAGCCACAAAAACAAAGGTAACACTGTTAAAAATGATTGTTATGGTATATGAATGTTGCAGGCATTTTAGCAAAATGGCATGAAGTTTCATTGTTTGTCAAGGGAAAACTTCAGCTAGAATTTTTACTTGCAATGTTGTTTTGCATTAACAAAGCGTTTCATCACTCATTTCATCATAGTTCTTGTTGCAAACATTGGAAAAGAAAAGGACCCTGTTTTAGGGATGCTTATACAATGTAGTAATTGTCAGATTTATGACTTGTGCTTGTGCCACAGAAGTTGGGAAAGCAATAAAGACTTTTACAGCAGTTTTAAATGGTTTCTACTTCTTACCAGTTGTTGGAATAGATTTGAGACTTTGACATTTATCAGTGTAACCAGATGTTAATATTTATTTACAACTATAATCAATTTGATAAAAACCAGTGTTGTATTGAACTCTGCCATTCCATTCTTAATGCAGGCCAGGCCAGGTAAATAATCCATAATGAATAACTTGTTCAGAAAAGAATGCTTTTCTGTGCCACCTGCTAGCTGTCCACAAAAAATCAGGACTTATTCCTTATTCAGAATTACTTATGCCTGCCTGAATAATATCTGCTTAATAGTTGCGGGTCTGTTGCTTGCTTACCACACATTTGTTGTGACTAATTGAAATTTGAGGTGTTCTGATGGGATAGATAAATGCTAAGCTTCTCTTCCTTGGTTGGCTAAGAATAATGCTTAGAACCAAGTTTCCAGTGTGAACTCTTGTAATTTGCTTTCTGTGAATATTGTGCAGTGTAATATGTACTGAATGGTGACCTACCTGGCCCTGGCCCACTCATAGCCTGGACTGTGTTACACAATACATTATAAAAACCCAGTAAAACTCGATTCCTGGCCCTTGAACCAATATTTACTTAAAAGTCAGTTGTGACAAACACCTCCCAATGAAAACAGTTGCTATGAAATGATCAACAGAAAGGCCTCCCAAAAGGCATGCAAGCTTTGCATATTTAGATATTCACAGATTTATTTTTTGAACTCAACCCTATGAATACACACATCAACTATTTTAGGCATGTTTCTTTTTAATGTAAATAAAATTCTGCTCCAAAAGCATCCTTATTCCATCAGTATGCTGGCTTTCTAGGTAATATGGAAGCTGTTACAACCATGCTTTCTAAGTTGCCTCTGGACCTTTAGGGCCCTGCTCTAATACATGACATTTTACATAAAGCACCATGAGTTAGAATGCCCCTGCCCCAAAAGAGGTTCATCTGTTGGGAGGGGGAGGCCCTCTGGAGCCTGCCTGCACCTACCCTGCCAGCAGGTGAGGGCACTCCAGCAGCCCTCAAGGAGGCTGCCAAACTGCCCCTCCCCCCCAGTTCTGGGGCTGTTGGTGGGGGAGGGAAAGGGAGCAGCTTTGTCTGGCTAGAGCTGGAGGGGAGGTGGCAGGTGGAACGGACCCTCCTTGTCTCAGGCTCCCTGCCCCAGCTACTCCAGCTGAGGTATTGAAGGGAGTTGGGCCATGCCGGGGGGGGGGGGGGTCTCCCTTCCCACAACACCTACCTGGGCCTCTTGACATTGGCAGCATGGAGCTGCCAGCTACTTTGCATATAGTAAAGTATATGCAAAGTATACCCCCCAGCCCCCAAAGCAAAGGGGGCTTTATTCCACCCTGCCGTCCCCACTCCAGCTCTGGCCAGGCAGAGCAGCTGGCAGCTCTGTGCTCCTCCTTTCGCTATTGACAACTCTGCAAAGCGGGAAAAATTAACCCTGGAGGGAACACAAGTTCCCCAAGGTGCTCTGCTTTAGAGCGCCTTCATCTGTTTTGACCAAGGTTAATTTTTCACATGATCGGCTGTTTTAAGTGCTCTGCAGACATGTTATGTCATGGCCGTAGAGTGCTTTCAGGGGCCCAATCAGGCAAAAAATGTAACTTTGTAAGCACCCCTAATGTCTGACCATTGGTTAGTTAATACAGGGGGTATTATAAAAGCTGAGTAATAAAGTCAGGCTTTTAAACACAAACACAGTCAGTATCTTTGGTGTATCTTCACGTATGTGCATGAAGAGGGGAACATAAACTAATGTGTATTGATTGCTATGTAAAAAGCAAATAAAATCTGTTGTAAAATGCCATGTTTTTGGGCTTTTGTATTTTAAAGACTGGCTTAAATGGTTTTCTTAGTAATATCTGCAGACTGTACATGGCTCTTGTAGGTACCAGTCAAAGAACTGGCTCACAGGGAGTGAGTGGCAGGGCAGTCCTGCTAAAGATCCCTGTCTGCCAGTCTTCAGAGCCTCCCTCTGGGGCTTGTGGATAATTGAGCCTGCAGTATCCATTTGTACTTTGGTTTTGCTGGGTGCCAGTTAGTAAAATTTAGGACATGGATTAATGCCTGCTAAGAAGGGAAACCCACAGGAAGAGGTACTGGATGGCTTTTGGACTTGGTTGTCCAGGATTGATTTTGGACCTGTATTCTAGCAGCTCTGTAACCTCTTTGGACCATCCAGTCACTGGACTAGCTCCCTCTTAGTTGCCTTCAAATAGAAAAAGATAAGGTACATTAAACAAATAGTACTGGTGTGATGTGTGGCATGCGAAAATTGATGCTTTGTGTGAAAGCCACCTAACCTGTTCAGCTGGTTTCTGGTAAATGAGAGAGCCAGTGAGCATGCGCAGAACTTTGTCTGCTCTGCATAACTGAGACCTATTTACATGACATAACTGCCATTGGCGTGCCTTTTATCTGAGAGGTAGTGAGTTCACCTTGTATGTATTTAACAGGCGTAACTTAACCCAGGGACCATACTGCTTTCACTGAGAAAAGCTGCACCCTGGACATTCTGCATGTGGGGAGTATTTTTGCTGCAGAGAAAATGGGACAGAAGGTATCGCAGGATAACAACCAGAACAAGGCTGACATTCTAGTTTTATGTGACTTATTCAGCCAAGTGGTTGTCCATGCATCTCAAAAGCTGAAAGATTATCTTGGGTTGAAGATCCTCACAGCAAACTCCACGTAGCTACAAATACATTCAGTGAGATCTTTTTGATCAACTTCATCACCTTCTGTGTTGAAAAAGGAGTGCTTCATAACCAGCAAAATGACCAGGCAGCAGTTCTGGCTCTTTGGGGTTGACTGGATCTGGACTCTTAGGAGCTGACAAGCAAATCAAGCTTCAGATTGCTGTTCAGTCTTTGCAGATGGCAGAACTCCTTCACAATAAAGATGGCTCCAGTGAACCACGTGGCCTCTGTGAGGAAGCCATGTTAGCAGACAAGCTCTTCTCAAACCTGCTTTTGTTTTTAAAGCTGGAAAAATCCTGCTTGCTGGTGGGACAAGACTGTCTGGGCCTATTTATAGCATCTGGTGTACCTGGGAAGCCAAAAGATGTCAGAGGAGTTATGCTAGACAGTATCAACAGGGAGAAGCAGAACCAGCACCTCTCAGGCACAAAAGCTTTGAGGCAGTTTTGAGCACAGAGAGATTCCTTGCTACAAAAGAAATGCTAGAAAACTGCCTTGGTAAGAGAAATGGGCTGAGGCAGGTAGACAAGGTTTACGTTAACTTTGTTTAAATTGTAAATAGCTAATAGTAGAAAAGTTGGGACCCAGTTCTCAAAAAATATGCAGGACTACATGCACAGCTCAGTGCAGCTGTTTAGACTGAGCGTTTGATTTTATAAGAACTGAGTCTCTCCTGTCTTTAAATCTAAAAAGGTTAATAAAGAGGGACTGAATTTTAAGAACATTTTGTTCTCTGGGTAATAATCCTTTTTTAAAATATTCAACTGGACAAAAAGCTCATCACCCAAACCTTTGAGAAGATTTGTAAAGAGTTTGTCTTTGTTTAGAATGGGCATAAAGACTGCAGATGGTTTTTAACTTGAACACTTGATCTTATAAAGATGTGCTCTCATTCCAACTAATAATACAAGGCAACAATAGCAGGATTTTATAATTCTGGACTGTAAATTCCAGGTACTTGAAGGGATTGGTCCTAGCAAGGAAAAAGGCCAGACTGTAGCTAAGATCTTTCTCATTTATAATTCTTGAAGTTATTTTTTTTTTATACTTGTTAAAATTTAAGAGGAAGAAAGAAGCCCCAGCTGATACTGGATTCCTATTTTACAGTGTATAGCGAAAGTGCTTGTCCCTACCCAAAACCTAGGTGAGAGTTTTTCCATTGACTTCACTGGAGCCAAAATTGCACCTTAGGTCTTGTGGTTGAACTTAAATCCCTTACACTATATGCTTTCTCTCTGAGAGCAAGGGCTGCTTCCTGACGTTAAAAAAAAAAGCAGCAGCAAAACACGGCCCTTTACTGTAAGCTCAATGCGTTGTCAGAACAATTCAGAATGTTAAAAAATTTATAAAGAAAAAACTTGAGTACTGTATTTTTTTACTCAATAAAAGGATTCTATGGAATGTTACATGTCATAAGTAGATACAATTCTCCTAGGTTAGCTTAGGCCAACATACTGTTACATTATGGAGAACTGTGCAGTTTTATAGAAGACTTTAACATGTCACAGTGTAGGAGTCATTAGTAAATGTAGCAAAAAAGCACCTACTTTAATTTTTAGGCTTAACTCTTCCTAGTGGAATATGTGGCTGAATTGCACCTTTAAAAATAAGATCCACTGAAGCCATATGAGTAGAGTGCATCTGAAATATCCCACTCCTAGGGACACTAGATGGCTGAAGGCCAATCTCCCATTTCACAACCTTGAACCTTCTGGCATTAGGAAGAAAATGGAGAACTTGAAGACAGACTCCTCTCAGGTGAGGTAAAAGCAGAGTAGGGAGAGATGCACTCAGTCTTCTGTTGTCCGAATATCAATACCTTAAGTGCTTTCCAGAATAAAAACTCTGGTAATTTTAGAGGGCAAGAAAAGGATTAGTCAGATAAATGGAATCTTTTCTTTTTTGCTTCTCACCAGGTAGAAGATTTTGCAAAGCCACCTGATGTTAGAAAGTAACATACACAAGATCTGTTGAATAACTCAACTGTAAAATATTTTATTTCTTGCACAAACATTTTGAAAAAAGCCCAGTAGCTGAATATGCAGGATAAGAAATACAAAACAGCTTACAATTGACCAGCTGAAGTTACTCATCAAAATTAAGTGTTGTTAATATACTTATGACAAGGTCTTTGGGTATGTTTTCCTGCCCACACAGAGCACTGTTTAAATTTTCACTGGTTACTTGTTACAAAGACAGATTTAAACTTGTAGAGGAAACTATACAGTTCTTTGAAAGAACAAGTTTCAGACTACAAGAAGCACATAAACAAGACAAGAAGTCCCAGACAGGCCTGGCTACTGAAATAAAGTTAATAGAACTATTTGTCATAGGTTTACCTTTTCCTCACTGAAGTCAAACCAGAAATTAGCCTTAAGTACAGAAAGCCAAGCTTGTATGTAGGCACAGAGGACATGGCAAATTATCTCAGATAGTGACTTGTATCTCTGTACAATGAAAATTAGAGATCACTCAACAACAGAAGCAGCTTTTAACCAGTACTTTACAGGCTAGTAAATGCTTCTGGCCTTCATTTTATTTACCAGAACACGATCTTATGACTTAAGTTTGGCCTGTGGATCACTTTCAGATGTGGGAGTATCTCTGCCTCTTGAAGGTAGAAAATTCTGGTTATGAGATGCATTAATATTAGGTAGAAGCTGCTTAAATCACAGCTACATCAAACTACTGTCTTTAAGAAGCACTTTTGGATTCAAAGAGACATTTTAAAGTTGCTGCTGGTTTGACTCAAGTTTGAGCTGACAACTCAGCTTTTCCAGGCAGACTTCTACTTGAGTTTTGCTTGAGCAAGGCATGCAGGGTGGAGGCCCTGATTTTTTTTTTTTTTTTTTTTTTTTTTTTA